TAATAATAATAATAATAATAATAATAATAATAATAATAATAATAATAATAATAATAATAATAATAATAAATAATAATGATAATAATAATAAAAATAATAAAAAAAAAATAATAATAATAATAATAATAATAATAAAAAATAATAATAAAAATAATAATAATAATAATAATATTAATAACTATAATAATGATAGAGATAAACGCGAGATTTTCTTGGCAAAAAAAGGTGTTTTGTGTTTAATGGTGTGTTTACTGTTGTGTGTGAGAGCAAGTCTTACCGGGTATAATGTTTAGTTACGGTCGGCAGCCCAAACTATCTGAATAAAACGAACTAAACTAAATAGAACCGGAGCCGTGTGTTATTTGTTTATATTTTATGTTTCCTTATCATTTTTGATATATATTTGGGCTGTTTGCTTTAGTTTTTTCTTCTTTATACCCTTTCCCGGTTCATTTCGCTCACTCTGTTCATTTCATTCTTTTTATAATAGTTTCATACATAGTGTGAGTCAACAACAACAACTACTTTAACAAAATAAACTCCTCTGGGGAGAAAGAAAGTAATAGGGGCCGAGAAGACTTAAACATGTCCCTTTTTCTTTATTATTAGGAACTATAATAGATTTTATTTCAAACTATTTGACACATTTTATTATCATCAATTATATTAATTATATAGTTATTGTTCAAAAGCGATTATCACGACCAAAGCCAATATAAAGCTTTACGTTCAATAACACCTTTCATTTTTGACATCACACGCGCACGCACACGCACACGCACATACACTCTCTTACAACATACACAATGTCAAACCCACCTAGAAAGACTAAAGAAGTTATCAGACGTAAATTAGTTATTGTTGGTGATGGTGCTTGTGGAAAAACATCATTGTTATCCGTGTTCACGTTAGGATATTTTCCAAAGGTTGGTTTAAATTTTTACTATATGCATTCATTGTTCGTTTTTTTATTATCTAACAATTCTTTTATTTTTTAGGATTATGTATGTGTAATTTAATAATGTTAGAATGGTATTAATACGTGTGCTTGTTTTTTTTTGACAAGATATATATTAAGCCAAATGAATCATTGATTTTGTTGAAATAAACGGGACAAAATCGCAAAGAACAAAGATATTCATATTTGAAAACAATTTGTCGATTGTAATAGGTTCCTACTGTTTTCGATAATCTGGTAACTGATATCAGAATAGACAATAGACCAGTGCAATTGGCATTATGGGATACAGCGTATGTACATTTTTTAGCGCTGTTTTTGTTATCATTTTTTTCTAACTTTTTCAATTCGGTTATCTCTGTAGAGGTCAAGAAGAATACGAGGTAGTAGCTTTATTCCATATCTCTTCTTGCATTATTAATTCAAATTCAATGATTCTCATCGATTTAATTAGCGTCTACGACCTTTATCGTATTCAAAAGCGCACGTGATTCTTATCGCATATGCCGTAAATCAACCAGATTCATTGGAAAATGTAGCTGCAAAGGTAGATATATTAACTAAATTAAGTAACTGCTAGTTTTTATTGATTTTATTACTAATTTTTTCCGATTGAATTTATTTGTTAATTAGTGGATTGAAGAAACAAATGCTCTGTGTCCAGGCGTACCCGTCATCCTAGTCGGGTTAAAAAAAGATTTAAGAGAGGATCCAAACGCAATTGAAGAGTTGGAACGCAAAGGGTTAAGTTTCATTGATACAAGACAAGTAAGTGAATATTTATAATGGCAATATGAATCGGAAGCACCAATTATTAAGAATAGTACCCGTTACCCCATCCGCGCCAAAGAGAGATGCATACACGCATATAAACATACATACTTTCAGACAGAGATACAAAAGTCTTTTTGTATCATATGTATGTCTCCGTCCGAGTGTGTCATATCTGTGTGTACTTTTGCATTTACTCCTGTTTCGTCGTCATTATTCATCATCGCAGTAGTTTCTTTTTTTGGTCTACTCAGATTTTTAGTTTTTTTTTTTTTTTTTTTACTCAACACACACATAACATACATTAATCATATTCAAAATAATTCAAAAAGGGAGAAGAAATGGCGCAACAAATCGGCGCAAGAAAATATCTCGAGTGTTCAGCACTAACGGGAGAAAATGTTGATGCGGTATTTGAGGCTGCATCTCGTGCTGCGCTCTTGATTCGTGATAAAGAGCCGGGCCCTAATTGTGGATGTGTTATACTATAATAATTATATCAATTATATTCAAAAATCTATTAAAAGAGATGATATATAAAAAAAATGATATTTCTTACACTAACAAAATTTGATAAGACATACAGTTGATTTTCGTTGCTGATGCCAGTGACAATGACAAAAACTTATTCTTTAGTTCTTTATTATAGCAATACCAATATCGTCGTAAACTGAAAATATACATATAGTTTTTTTTTGGCGAATTTTTTTTGGACAAAGATGTTACCTATACATTCACAATACAAATATATCTTATGAATTGTATTCAAAACAATAATACGACGTATATTTACGCTAATATTGCACTTCAAAATAGATATCAATTCGATGATGCATTCGTTAATGACCGTGTTGTCACTTAAACTGGACCAGTTCCAGTCCATTAGAACATGAAATTCAGTTTAGTAATTTAGAGCTCAATGAACTAATAGTCAATTCAGTAATTTAAAAAAAACTCGATTAAATTCAGTAACACCTCTAAATTAAAAGTTTTTGGGTGAACATAGGAAAAATGGAATTTTCTATCTAAATTTCATAATAAATTATCACAGTTTCGAAATTATTATTATCATCACATGATTATTTTTTAATTTGATTATAAATGTGATTAATTATTATCAGGTATAATTAAAATATACTTTTTATAATCATTCAATTTTGCGATATTAACTACATTCAATCTTGTTTTTTAATTTATTTATAATTTTTAACTATTTTAAAGATTATTAAAAAAGTTTTAATTTTAAAATATTTTTATATAGTATAATTTAGATTTTTACTTGGATTTTTATAATTAATCATGTATTTTTTATGTATATCAGATAAATAACAAGATTAGAAGAGCTTTTATATTAGACTAAATATAATATATTAAAGATTATTATCTAAAGATAGATAATTATATGTTTAACACATAATTAGCTAGAATATAATCTAATTTAAAAGTTATCTAATATAATAATTATAATAAAATAATTAAATAATAGATTTTTTTAAGTTCAATAAAAAGAATAGTTTATTAATAAAAAAAGTATAAATTAATACTTGATTTATATTATAAAATTAAAAAGATTATTAAAATATAAAAAAAGAAAAAAGTCTATAAGAAAAAGAACTTATTAATAATTATTTAAGATATTTATATATAATTTCTATTTCTTTTAACTTTTAATACTTTCTTTTCTTTTTTTTTCTTTTTTTTATTTTTTTTCTTCTAATATTTTATTTTTTTATTTTTTTTACTTTTTCTTTTTTTAAATATAAATATTAATTATATTTTATTAATAAAAATATAATATTAATTGTTAGTATAATTATATATATTTAGAAAAATATATATTTAAAATTTAATATATATATATATAATAAATTATATAAAATATAATCATATTTATAAATTATATAAAAGAAAAATATTTATATAATCAGATTTTTTTATAATTATCATACTTAAAAAAGTAAATTAAATAACTAAAAAAAGATGTAATTATAAAGAGATTTTTTTAATATAATTAATTAGTAATTGAAAAACTTAAAAAAGAATAATTATAAAAAAAGATAACTATAAAAAAATATAATTATAAAAAGATTTAATTATATATAATCAGATCTCTTTATAATTATTATATTTAGAAAAGAAAAAGTAAAATTAAATAACTAATGAAAGATATAATTATAGAAAGATTTTTTTAATTATAATTAATTAGTAACTAAAAAATTCAAAAAAGATAATTATAAAAAAAAGATAGTTATAAAAAGATATATTTTTTATTATATATTTAATATAATTTTTAATTTTTTACTTTTATTAATATTTAATACTATTATCTTTTTGGTGTGAGTTTGATATAAAGATAAGTATTAATCCTAATATTACAAATATATATGATAAAAGTAATCATATACTTATAATAATATTGAGAGAATCTTCAAAAGATTTATTGATAAGAATATAAATATTATTATTTTAAGATTTATCTAAAGATACAGAGAATAAAAAAAGTATTAGATATTTTTATAAATTATTTTACAAGCCAATTATTTCCAAAAATTTTATTTATTTATTATAAAAATAAAATACAAGCTAATATTTTATTTGATCTTCATTTACTATAATAATAACTTGAATTCTTCATGACATAAATTTAATTAAATTTTGATAATAATTCTCTGATATCACATCTCATTTCTCTTTAACCTGTCTTTTCAATTGCATAATACTTGAGAACTATATATCATATTGATAAATCTTAATCTTAATAAATAATCAAATATTCTTAATAAAGTTAAGGTTAGAACTTTGAGCTGGTTAGGAAAGCAGCATTATATTTGAGAAGATAAAAAAAAAATATACAATTTTTATGATATGAATAGGTGTATTATTCTCTTGAAAGAGAAATTTTTTTTAATTTTTCTGACATGTATCTTAATTATAGGAATAGCATAATTTTTAAGAATTTCATAATGTATAATAGCAGTAATATGACTAATTAATAGAACTAGCAGATCTAAATCAATTCAAGAAAAACATTCACAAAATATACAACCTGTACTATATCTAACTATAATCATAATATAATCTTCATGAAACTCTTTTGAAGATTTCTGAAAAATATATTTAAAAACTGAAGTTTGAAATTATGTATAGATAGACTCATCTAATCAAATAATATTTTTAAAATCTTCTACTATTTAGTGTTTATGAAAAATTATTCAAGACAAATATTTGATTTTATTGATTTCAAAAATTAGTAACTTATGACATTGAATATGAGAGTGAATATTTTTCTTAACTAATTTTTTATGAATAGTTTATATAGAAATATTTATATTATTGTTTATAAAGTTTAAATGTATTTGAAAAAAAGTTTGTTGATATATATTTTTATTTTTGATTATTAAAAACTTGAGTTTTTTGCATTTAGATTCATTAAGAATTTGTAAATGATCTATTTTTTACTTAGAAGATTCTTGAAACTCATATATTATTAATACTTATAATACTAAAGAATAAAAATAATCTATAACTTTAGAAATCTCACTATATATATGTTTAAGTTTATTTGCTATAATAATATTTTTTTTATCTCTTCATTAATTTTTTTTCATAATATATTAATATGTGATAAATTTTACAAGATAATTTATATAATAATAGATTACGTATAACTTTATAACTTATAAACTTATTAAAAAACTTATATATAGTAATAATTTATAATTATAACAAATTATATTTTCATATGATAAAAAATAATTATTAGAATTGGCAAGAGATATAATATTACAGATATATTTTTATTGAATATCAATATCTAATACTTTTTTCCATCTTTTGTAGATAATAATAGTATTCTTGATATGACTAGCTAGAATATAGTCTAATTTCAAAGTATAGTTTTAAGATAGATGTAATATTTAATTTATTAATAAGATAAAATAATAAATCTTAAGCAAGATCTATTTTACAAGAGAGATTTCTTAGAATTCTCTTGAAACTAAAATCTACTTAAATATAAATTAAGAACTAAACTTATAGAACTCAAACTAAACTAAATAACTAATTAATTAACTTATTAACTGTCTTATTAATTATCTATCTAAATTTGCTAGCTAAAATATATCACTTTTATATATTTTAAAGATTATATAAATGATACTTTTGCTATAATCTAAATATTAGTTTAGCTAGTATCATAATATTGGTTTTATTATAATAATATTATTAGTTTTATTATAATAATTTTGCTAAATTTACTATGATAATTTTGCAATAATTATTGTGCTTGTAAAATCTTCTAAAAATATTTATAAATAATATTCTCTAAAGCTAATATTCAATAATATATAAGTAATTATTTATCTAATCATATTGTGATATAAAATAACTAATAATATATAATTAATTAATATTCTACTAAAAGTTTATATTATAATAATACGTAAAATTTTTTTAACTTCAAATTTTAAAAAAATAGCTTTATATAAAATAAATCTCTAAAATAATTTTATACTATATAAAAAATCTATTATAATTAGTATACTTGTAAAAAATTTATAATTATTTATTATTTAAAATATATTAATCATATATAAGAAATAACTAAATAATTTAATATTAAATTCAAGTAAGTTTATGAATGAAGAAATAAAAAAAACTATTTGAGATTATATTTTATATTTTAATACTTAATTATGATTATTAAGCATAATATTTATTACTTGAATGAAAACTTGTTGGATAAATTATAAAACTATATAATAGATAAACTATTATAATACAAATTATAATAATTTGAAAAGTAAAATTAATTTCTTAAACTGATAAATTTAAAAATTTTTATTTTGATATTATTAATTTTAAATTTTCTAATTAGTAATTAAATAAATTTTTACATTACTATAATCTTTTAAATTATTATTATATAATTATTATATAATATTTTTTTCAAAAAATAAAATGAATTTTTAAGCTTTATTTTACTCAAATATCATTAATATAAATTTTCAATAAAATATATTGAAAATATAGATAAAATATTATTATCTTTCAATCTTTCTTGTTTAATAATTCTTAAATAATATGATATCAAGATAGTTAGTGTTTGAATAGCAAGACATAAAAAAACTTATTTTATCATAATTCTTGAATATCTTGCTAATAATATAAAACTTTCTCCTATATATATTTTCAAACTAAAAAATATTCTGCATAAAAACTTTTCTCAAGAAGTTATTATTCAAGCTAATGAGAAAGAATAATATAATAAATAAGAGATAAATTATTAAATTAATACTATTTGAATCAAATATAATGAGATGAAAACTTCAAAATCTTTTCTTGTTTGAATTCATTTTAAAACTATTTGATTGAATCAGTCAAACAAAATTTTAAAGAAAATAATACTTATCTTGTAATTATTTCAGATGAATTAACTAGCAAACTTTAATCACTAGATATTACTATTGACAAAAGTTTCAAACAAAAGATA